CAATCTAGTGGAGGCAGCAGATAGAGTTTGGTTTCCTTACCTTTTGCAGCAGAACGGGACCTTTGATATTTGCTTTCATTAGGAGGTTAAGGGAATAGGAATATCAGGGAATTTTTGAAATGTGTGTTGAAATGGAGCCATTGGCGTTTGTTGACATGAAATCAATGTTAAGAATGGAGTATAATTATGTCTATTCTTGTCAAAGTGGCCAGAAAAATTCATGGAGAAGTTTAGGAATAATAGTACTAACACTTATATGAAATTTATGATGTACGACACTATTCAAAGTACTTCAAATATATTAACTCATTTAATGCTCCCAATAATCCTCTGAGGAAGGACTGTTACTATTCCCATTTTAAGGAGGAGAAGACTAAGGCAGATAAAGATTACGAAACTTGCCTAAGTTCACATATCTAGTAAGTGGTGGAGCTGAAATTTGAACCCAGGTGATCTGATTCCAGAGTCTGTGCTACCTAGCCTGCCATGGGGAAAAGATCAGGCCACTAGACAATCGTCAGATGGTCTTCTGAGCCAATCAGAGGAGGTAACATCCAGATAATAAGAGATACACTAGTTAGTACAGACCATTTTCATTATTCACCTGTGAGAAACAATTTTTATTTTTGAATAAACAAATGTGTTCCAATAGATTAGATAAGAAAACCCAAGAATAAACACAAAATACATATATGGATAATGTTTTATGGGATTTAAAACTATAAAATCCTTTCTTATATTTTTGTGTATTTTACAAGAATCACATAAAATATATCTGTATTTTATCAAAGAGGAAATGGAAGAACAGAGAGAGCTTATATAATGTGTTTGAAATCAACAAACAGGATTTAGAAGAATGTGGAAAAAAGTTCACATCTGTGTTATTCCAGCTTCCTTTCTTTTGAAACCACACCATATACTCATAGGATTCTCTTAGAGCTAATGAACCAGTGCCTATGGGAAGGCACTATGAACAGAGGAAGTTACACTGGCGCCATCTCTGTTCTTTCCATGATTAGTAAGAGAACAAAGGTGAAAATTGGTTGCCCTTTTCATTGTTTTGGCTAAAGCCAGTTGGTTCTTTTCCTTCCTACCTACTGACAATCTGATTTGAAAGCAGCTACTTGACTCTTACAGGAACCATCAAATATGTTAAAGATAAAAGGTGGTCTACTATATCCCCCCAATCCCAATTATTGATAGAGGCGAGTATTCAGATCTTGACAAGAGTCCAGAGGTACAGAGGTGGGGATGGTGAAGAAAATCAAATACCCAGGTGAGGATGGCATTCAGATCCAGGGGACTCTCCTCTCTCGCACCTTCCTTCTCTCCTCTCCATGCATGTAAGCAGGACCCAGTGACAATGATGATAGTGAAGATAACAGAAAGGAGAGGAGAAGAAAAAGGAGGAGGAGAAAGGGGGGAAATAAATGGGTGAAAGCAACAAGAAAAAAATTTGGAAGAGGGAAGAACACTGGAATATGAAAGTTAAGAGGCATCTTGGAGAACACTTAAACTAGCCTCCCTTTGAAGAATGGTCACTCCTGTTGATTTAGTTCTATTGATCTACATCTCCTGAAGTCAAAGTGCCTTTTTTGCTTCCTGTAGCTGTAATGGAAAAGAGAAAAAAACATAAAACCTAAGATTTGGAATCAGAAGAACTGTTTTTATGTCCTGCTCTCCCAGCTCTGTGTCTTTACATTTCCATCACTTAAACTACCTGACCCACAGTGACCTGACTATAGAATGAGCATAGTAATCCCTATCTCCCTCAACGGTTTGCTATAAGGAACATAGAAATTAATGGATGCAAAAGTGCTCTGCAAACTTTAAAACGCTGCACAAATGTTGTTATAATTACATGGGAAGCATTAGGTTTCCCAAGCCCATTCCGTCCTCTGGCCTCAGAGTGCACCTGCCCCTGGAAGATCTGTGTTACTTTAACAGAAAGTTAATTAGGTCCTCCACCCTCCCTCTGGATATCTGCTGGAGTTAGAAGTGCAGCTCAGCACACAAGCTCCATCATCCATATTAAAAGTGGGATTTTCTGAGTTGGCTTGGGCAGCCAGTTGACCAATAGGTTCCAATGTGTGTTTTCAATAAAGCTGCTTACCCAGGAAGCCTTATTAAGTGAGTAAGTCAAGCTGACATGATTTCCGTGCTGATTAACATGAAACCTAGGATGTTTTCGCAATGCAGTAACATTAATTATTTATAAGAGGTAAATGAGGTTACAAGGAAAACAAGCTCCAATTACCAGAAACAAATCAAATCATATATTTATATTTTTAAAAGCTATGTACTAATCCCTGCATTCATTGATTTGAGGGCCAAGTTTCAAAGATCACAAAACATTGGAGTTAGGTGATATCTCATTGTGGTTTTGATTTACATTTCCCTGATGATTAGAGACAGTGAGCATTTTTTCATATGTTTATTGGCCACTAGTCTTTCTTCTTTTGAAAAATTTATGTTTATATCTTTTGCCCACTTTTTAATGGGGTTGTTTGATTTTTTTCTTGCTGTTTTGCTTGAGTTCTTTATAGATTCTGGTTATTAGCCCTTTATCGGATATATAGCGTGCAAATATTTTCTTCCGTTTTGTAGGTTGTCTGTTTGCTTTATTGATTGTTTCCTTGAATGTGCAGAAGCTTTTTAATTTGATTAGGTCCCCCAATTTATTTATTTTTGTTGTTGCTGTGATTGCCTTTGGGGTCTTCTTCATAAATTCTTGCCTAGGCCGATATCCGTAAGAGTTTTTCTGACATTTTCCTCCAGAATTCTTATAGTTTCATGCCTTAGATTTAAGTCTGTTATCACCTAACTCCAGTGAGAATGGCTTTTATCAAAAAGTCCCAAAACAACAGATGCTGGCATGGATCTGCAGAGAAGGGAACACTTATACACTGTTGGTGGGACTGCAAACTAGTACAACCTCCATGGAAAGTAATTTGGAGATACCTTGAGCTAAAAGTAGACCTACCATTTGATCTGGAAATGGCACTATTGGGCATTTACCCAAAGGAGAAAAAGTCATTTTATAAAAAAGACACTTGCACTAGAATGTTTATAGCAGCACAATTCACAATCGCAAAGATGTGGAATCAACCCAAATGCCCATCAATGCATGGGTGGATTAATAAAATGTGGTATATATACCACAGAGTGCTACTCAGCCATAAAAAATGGGGAACTTATAACTTTTGTGACAACCTGGATGGAACTGGAGACCATTTTTCTAAGTGAAGTATTGCAAGAATGGAAAAACAAACACCACATGTACTCATTGTTAAACTAGAACTAATCAATCAACGCTTATATGCACATATAGAAGTAAAACTTAGTGGAAATCAAGCAGGTGGGAGGGGCAAGGAAGAGTTGGGTAATTTTACCCCTGATGGGTACAATGGACACTATCTGGGTGATGGACACACTTATAACATTGACACAAATTGTACAAAAGCAAAACATGTAACCAAAACATTTGCACCTCCATAATATTCTGAAATCAAAAAACAAAAAAGAAGAAGAAAACACTTATCATGTTTTCCTCTTTCTCATAATCAAAGGTGATAGAAGGCTTAATATTTCAAAGACTTGCTGGTAAACTGGGATGCCTCAATGGAGTTTATCATATATTTTTATCTGGTAAACTATATACCTACAAATTGCTCAACAAATTTTAAAACAATTTAAACTCTTCCAGAATTAAATGCAAAATGTTTACTAAACCACTATTCTCTTTTGGTTTTCATATAATTTTTAAATAGTAAGTTTTGTATGGAAAATTCTGATTATACAGTATCTGTTAGGCAAGTGAATTAAAGTAGTCAGGCTACTTCTGTGTTTGCCTGAAAGAGTCCTCACTTAGTTTGCAATCACTATGTTCTGTGTTGTGTAGCATTTGTTTTGGATTTTTAATTTTTAACAAAGTATTACTATAATAGTTGCACTAAAATAATCTTGAATGGGTTTGGTAGACCCCTGGCTTGTACTTGTAGCTGTTGTCATGGTCTTGTTTGACTGTGTGACATGCACATACAATGAAAAGAGTTCTCACTTTAACATATGAACAAATTTGAAAGACGATCAGGGATAATCCTCCTTTCTATTCCTGATTCTTTAAAGACATCATGTTGCTAACACCTCTAACACCTTAACACTAGACAGAACACAATATGCTTACTGAAAAACAAAATGCTCTTCTGGCAATGGTAAGAGAAATGTTCAATGATCATGTGTTGTCCCAGCCAGTTGTGCCATGGCCAACTTGAAGGAGATACTTGAAGCTACCAGTTGGAAGTACCAGTGGGAAACATGGGATATTATAGGATAGATGTATGTGAAACACCCCTAAATAGAGGTTGAACAGTCCTTTGTAGAATACATACAGAGTAGCATAAATGATCTTGCTATAATTTTTCATTTATTTTATGGTATAAATATATAATAATTTAGTTATTTATTTATACCATAAATGTTTGATATGCTTTTTATTTTGAAATAGTAATTACCATTACATACATATTATATAATAGTAATTATTTTAGCACCCTCTTTCACTTTCAGAAATTTCTCTATTTGGAAAATAATTTATATGCCCACCTTATTTATGTCCCTTTGTGATCTTAATTCTGCAAAGAAAGAAAAATAATGTCTGGACTGGTATACTAGTTATTTTTGTATAAAATACACACAACAGAAAGAACATAAGAACAAAAAGATTTAGGCACTAGCACTGCAATGAATAATCAAGTGGATTTTCTTTTCCTATAGTTGATTTTCTCATAATATGCCATAACTGGATGAGGGCCCTGGGTATTTCTTTGAATGTTGTATTAATCATTTAGAATGGAAGACTTGGACAAGATAATTTTAAGTTAAATCTCAATGAAAAGTCTGTGCTCTGTATCTAAGGTTTAAAAAGAAAGTTTAGTTTTAAATCAAATCAGATATTCACAGGAATTAACCTTTGATATTTCCCTTTTCCAGAATCTGGAAATGGCAAAAACTTATGTGAAATCCAAGGACATGGTGGAGCTGGTCAACACACCATCCTGGATGGACGAAGGTCTGGGCTCTCAAAATGAGATGAAGGAGGAGGAGAGAAGACCAGATGCTTATGGGATGCTTGGCAGCTTAACTGAAGAGCATGACAGTATTGAAGAGGAAGAAGAGGAGGAAGAAGATGGGGATAAACCTAAGAGAAGGGGTCCCAAGAAGAAGAAGATGACCAAAGCACGCCTTGAGAGATTCAGGGCTCGAAGAGTCAAGGCCAATGCTAGAGAACGGACCCGGATGCATGGCCTGAATGATGCCCTGGATAACCTGAGGAGAGTCATGCCATGCTACTCTAAAACTCAAAAACTTTCCAAGATAGAGACTCTTAGACTGGCCAGGAACTATATTTGGGCTTTATCTGAAGTTCTAGAGACTGGCCAGACACCTGACGGGAAGGGCTTTGTGGAGATGCTCTGTAAAGGGCTCTCTCAGCCTACAAGCAACCTGGTGGCTGGATGCCTCCAACTGGGCCCTCAGTCTGTCCTCCTGGAGAAGCATGAGGAGAAATCTCCTATTTGTGATTCTGCCATCTCTGTTCACAACTTCAACTATCAGTCTCCAGGCCTCCCCAGCCCTCCTTATGGCCATATGGAAACACATCTTCTTCATCTCAAGCCTCAAGTATTCAAGAGTTTGGGAGAACCATCCTTTGGGAGCCATCCGCCTGACTGCGGTACACCTCCTTATGAGGGCCCACTCACTCCACCCTTGAGCATCAGTGGGAACTTCTCCTTGAAGCAAGATGGCTCTCCTGACCTAGAAAAATCCTACAGCTTCATGCCACATTACCCTTCTGCAAGTCTAAGCTCAGGGCATGTGCATTCAACTCCCTTTCAGGCTGGAACCCCCCGCTATGATGTTCCCATAGACATGTCCTATGATTCCTACCCCCACCATGGTATTGGGACCCAACTCAGTACAGTCTTCACTGAGTAGGGCAGTAAGATCATCATTTCAGAGAATGATGTGGAGACATTTCCCATAATTCAAGTAGTTGAGCTGAAGGTTCAATGACCTTAAAGGAACCCTGTGGATATACATCAAACACGATCGGCCTAGTCCATTTAGGCCCTCCTTCACCTATCACCCTCCTTTCTCACCAACTTCTCACATTGTATTGATTGTTTTAGAGGGTCCTCAGGTGAAACTGTATGATGACTTCCAACCCTGTGGAAATAGAAAAGAAGACCTGGGCCCTATGCCAGTGGTGCCAAAAACTCATTGAATAATCTATGCCAATGAATTTTCCATTTCTGGTCTTTGCTTGTTTGCTGGTAATATAAGGCATGAGGCAGCTGTTCGGAGTCTAGATGATTTCTGAAGTCCTTTGCAGTTCTAAAATTCTATAACTTTGGTGATCACTCATAAATTTCTTGAAACTGAAAGAATTGAGCAATAATAGGAATGGACACCATGCACGGAACGATCAAATGGAATTGCCAAAGGGAGCACAAAGTATACGTCTCTCGCCTCACAGAATGTAAAGTTTCTTTGGACTTAACAATAGTACTTCTTTGCATCTATTTATGAGCTGCTTCCAGAAGCTAAAATTCTAACGTGGCTGTCACTGCGAATAACAAAGCCTACTCTTTAAGAGATTGACTCTATTTCTCACTGGACTGAGAGTTGAACATATCTTCCTTAGTGATTTGAGAACCATAATAGAGGCAAGGCCTCATGCCAACTTTATTGCTGATAATATTTCAAATCACTTTTCTCGGTACTAGAAACAGGGCAAGCAAGTCACAGATGCTCAGACTCCTATGATTAATGGGACATAGAGAGATCATCTAGACCATTTCATGGCCTCCATAACCAGATTCTGGAAATTCAGATGAAGCTCAGGTGCTGCTATTGGAACCAGCACACAACCCAGGTTTATAGTAAAGAGCAATAAAATAGCTATTGTCTATACTAACTACCATAATTCAAAAACTCTTTCCAGTTCACACTTGCCAATAGAAAAACCACTGGATCTTTTTTAGCAAGATGAATTTCATTTGGTTAAAGTAAATGTGATTAAAACCACTGATCTCTCTCCACACCAATATATTTTCTAGAAGCACAAGCACCAATTTATTGACCAAGCTTGAATTTTTCCAACATATATGCAATTATATCTCCTCCATTTATTACCTCTTTCTCACGTCTAAAATATAATATGCTATTACATATTGTACATAACATTTCAAATAACCAGATTTAGGAATGCAGAAATAAAATCCAAAGTCAGTGAACACTTTTACCAACGATGTCTTCATCACAGATTTAACCCAATCTGCAGAATGTTTATTTTTCTCCATATAACTCCTCTTTCTTTTATAGCAACACTAACTTTGTCAAATTTATCTTTTTTTTCAGAAAAATGAGATCTGAGAAATTTTATTATCCTCTTCAATCTGCAAAGACAATTATTTTAGTCAAACCAGAGCCTACATGGTAGTGGATCATGTTCTGTTCCTGCCAGACAGAATAAGTTTAGTATGCAGAGTAGCAATAGGGCCAATGAGTATAATTAATAAGTCAGATTAGTATATCATTTCCTACAGCTCAGCTATCTCCTAAAATCTGCCTAACTATATGTATATCTTGTCTTTTTATTCCTCTTATTTATTATCTCCTTATAGTCTAAGTTATTTTCTTCCCATTTTGCTTGCAGCACTTACCCTGCTGTATTTTGCACCCTTGGTTTGTCAATCCCCTTGAAAGTAGCCTTGCAGAGAGATCTTAAACCCACTAGTCACCAAAGTGGTTCCCCTCATTGCAATCTGCTCCAGAGGGAATAGGCAAGAAAAATGACTTAAATGCCATCCTAAGTGCTTTCTGGGTATATACTGGCACTTACCTTCATGAAGGGTTGTGGGAGGATCCATCCTTGAAGTTAGAATTTTCTGGCATTTAAGTTTGGAGATAATGAATGTTGTATGAGTTATTTATTAGATATTATTTATTTAATTTATTTCTCCCTTCCTTTCATGCAAATTCTTTGGCCCCATAGATGTGTTTGCAAACCTTCCCTAAAGCTTCATTTGGAAAGTAGTTCATAATTTTGCTAGGAAGTCCTGAGTTTTGGAGTGAGAGGAAAAGAGGAAGTTAGTAAAGAATGATGTGTAATCATTTTATAAAAAGCAGCAATAATTTGAATGGCTATGCAAGTTAATGTTTTTAGATTTTTTTTCCTTCCATCTAAAATGAGCCAGAGTTGGTTTTTGGGAATCTGTTGTTTATGTCTTTGGAGAGTATAGCGCCCATGAATCAGGCCTCCCTGGGATTGTGTAGAGGGATTTTATAATTGAATTAAAATTTAGGAATGCAATATGCTTGGAAAGAGCCTGCTCTCCAACCCAGGGTAATCTCCTCATTCTTCTGAAGACTTTTTTTTTTTTAGATAAAGCAAAGCAATTGTTTAAATCTTTTGTTTAAAAAAAAATGACTGTTTTTCCTCCCTTTTTTTTTTTTTTAGCAGAAATAAAGCTGTGAGTCTTATTAGACATTGTGTTGTGTTATTAGTCTTCAAAACTTTTCTTCACTCTCCTTTATTCATTTTCTTGGGATCTATGTCCTGTAAGCAACTAGCAGAGCACAAGCTGGCCTTTCAGGAGGATTTACACATCCCATATTTCACTTGATCTTGCCAGAATATTTGAAACATCTAAACTAAGTAGCTGGAAGTCTAGAAGCACTAGTCTCGGCCACCCATACAGCCAACTATAGAATCTGCAGTTAAGAAACAAAATCTTACAGTTTACAGAAATCTTTAGGGTTATGGGTAGTCTAAGCTATCATATCACAGAGAGGTGTTCCAAGAGGAGATGGACTATTATCCAAAATTTAGGTGAGCTTTCCAACTTTTCAAAAAATTATGAAGTATATTTTTTAGCACTTCTTCTCTTACATTTTTTCTTTCAGTTTTCTTCAGTTAAAACTTTCCAGGCACAAAGAGTGCAATGTGCACCACCCGAAAGATGGACATATTTGAAACTCAGATTCGGGGCGGGGGCAAGGGCAACATATGTAACCTAAACATCTGTACCCCCATAATATGCTGAAATAAAAAAAACAAAAAACAAAAAAACTTTCCAGGGTCCCTTCCCACAGGCTTAAAATGCTGATTATAAAAAATAATAATGATGTTAATAATAAACATAAATCAAGCAGAGTTGGTTAACCAAAGAAGGGCCTTGGTTTAAATATTTAAGAAACAAAAAATGTAGAGCAAAAGTCATCTTCCCACTGTTATCTTCCATATGTCAGTTCCTGCTCTCCAGGTAGAAACTACTTAAAAAAAAAAGACTTAGTTTTTTAGTTATCAGAGACATTTTATACATATATAAGCAAATATTAGGTATATTAGGCACACATATCAAGGTACATTATCCTCTCCTTTCTTTTTACAAGTGGTAATGATATAACATGGTTCTGCATATTGCCTTCTTTATATTTAAGCACAAATCTTGGGATATTTTCATATTTAATAAAAAGTTTCTTAATTCTTTGTTATAGCTGGCTAGCATTCCACATTGAAATACCATAATTTATGAAATTAAATTACATAATCTAGATTTTTAAAATCTTTTGCAATACTGAGTGAATAATCATGTACACTTGTCATTTGACACTTATTAAGAGAAAGTTTACTTTGCAAAGAATGTTTCAGAAGGACAAAGACAAACTGACAGATAACAATAATTCCCTCTAGCAGCTACTGGATGCTTACTAGTAACGTCACTTTTAGAAGTGACTTGCACATATTAATTCATTCAATCCTAAAGACACTCCTTTAAGGTAGTCATTATTAGTATTCCCATTTTACAGATTAAGAAGCTAAAGCACAGAGTAATCTGTTCAAACTCACATTGCTAGTCAGTGGTGGAATCAGGGTTTGAACTAGTTGGTTTAGCCACAATATTTGAAATGATTCTAAGTGGTTGTTTGCCTGGTAGGCACATGAGGATGTCCTGTCTGTGCAATGCTGGAGCTGCTGGAAGCGGAGTCATTGTTTAACACCCCTAAATTGTACTCTACATATGACACCCTGTGGTGTCTATGCCCTACTGACCCATGCTTAACCTCTGAAATAGAATCTGAAAAAAAGCTATGTTTCTTTTGAGAAAAGCTGAACTTTCTGTTGGACTTTGCCTGTGTAGACCAGGTAGTTTTAGGCTAGATCACAGACCAGTGCCTTCTTGCTTGAAAGTGCTCATCCTTCAGAGGGCTTAAATCCATTTCATACTGTCATCTCACATATCTCTAGTGTTTAAAAAATGTTTTAACAGGGAATTAGATATATAAAAACAATAAAATCATCTATCAACATAGAAACATTCTATTTTCAAGATTTTTTATTTTATTTCTTTTTTATTAATTTTTTTAAATTTCAAATATTATGGGGGTACAAATGTTTAGGTTACATATATTGCCTTTGCCCACCCGAGTCAGAGCTACAACACTGTTCATCCCCCAGACAGTGCATACCACACCCATTAAGTGTGAATGTACCCATCCCCTCCTCCCTCCTGCCTGCCAGACACCTGATGAATGTTACTACCATATGTGCACATAAGTGTTGATCAATTAGTAACAATTTGATGGTGAGTACATGTGGTGCTTGCTTTTTTTTTTTTTTTAAATCCATACAACTTTGAAATATAATTTGGCTCAGTAATTACAAGCATTGGCTTCAGAATCAAATAAATGATATTTTAGCTATATTACTTAATGATTAATAACCTTTATTAAATTGATTAAAGCTGCAAAGGTTCAGTTTCCTCAAATTTTTTTGATGTTATAAACAAAAAATATTTTTATTGGTGCTAATATATTTTTTCACTTTTTTCCTTTTACTATTTTTAACTGACACATAATAATCATACATATTTATAGGGTACAGAGTGATATTTTGATACATTATATAATGTATAATGATTGAATTTAAAATAGTAATGCCTTCCTCACAGGGTTATTATGATAAGTTAATTGAGATAACATCTAAAGTATTTAGCAAGTATTTAATAAGTGGTAATTATTACCATCTATGTTACTATTCCTTATTCTTTGATTACACTCATATTAACTTTTCTCTTTCCCTCCAATATATGCTTGGGGGAGTGCTGATGCTGACAGCAGCAGATTTAGAGTTCACAGAGTTCTTCAGTTTAGAAGATCTTTAGTTTGAATCAGAAAGACTTGGATTTGAAGCTAACTGGCTGAGTAGTCCTAGGCAATTTCTTTAACATCTCTGCCTCAATTTCCTTCTTTAAAAAAGGGGCACACAATACCACCAAACCTAGAGCTGATATGAGGATTAAAAATGATGATAATGCTAGCAAAGTGTTTATCTTAGGTTCTTGGTACCAGGGAAGCATTATGCTATTGTTATTGCTATTATTATTGGGAGTAGGTGAGAACAGGTGAGGCAATTGAGAACCAGAGAGAACAGCAGATCCTTTGAATTCATACAGTAAATCATTGACTAGAGCCAACACCAAAATCCAAGCCTATTGACCAGTAATCCATACATTGATATGCTATTTTGCAATTCATCACAGGGACAACTTAAACAGAAACCCCCAAAGGAAACCATTCTGCATTTGGAAAATAGGAAACACTGCAATTTGCCTTCTTTTCTAGAAACTGGCATGGAGCTACAGGGAGCCATGTGGTATCTCTTTGCTGTCGTCTGGCTTAAGATAACGTACAAAAAGAATACGATTACCTCACAAATATATAGCACTATGTATTTGATTTCAATTCGATTTTACAAATAGTTTTTGAGAATTTCCTCTGGGCCAGGCACTAAACCAAGTGCTGGAAATATAGAAATGAATATATGAGCTTGTGTTGTGGGTTTACAGTCAGATTATAAATTCATAAAGCACCTTTGCAGTTATCTTTCAATATTGGCAGCAACGTGGGACAAGTGGTTCAAGTATTACAGACACTGTTTGGAAGAGAAGGAAACTGATACTCAGAGACATTTACTGATTTCCAGGTCAAGCAATTAGTTAGGAGTTAAGTCAGAGATTATGATTCTAACATAATTTTGTTTGTTTTAGATAAGTAAATTCTTGCTTTATGGGGTTTATGGATTCTTATGATAACTCTGGGTAATTTATTGATTGAATAAACTTCATTAAATTAATTAAACTTGCAAAGCCTTAGTTACTTTGCTAAAATTGCTAAAATGAATTACTACAAACATTAAATACAGAAAAGAAAATGACCAAGGTTTGATGCAGATGCTTAGTAGCCAGGGAGACCAGTTGATCATAAAATCAAAGGAACTCTGTCATGACTGCCATAATACACATGACGATAATGATGTTTGGGCAATACCTTGTATGTCTGTAAGTAAATGAATTAATTTACTAAATGTGAAGGGAAGAATATTTTAGAAAACAGTAGGTAAAAACTCAAAGAAAGGAAGAGAAAATTGCTGAATTGTTCTTTGTTGGGCTTCCTCACCATGTATAAGTCACAAAGTTAAGTTCTCTATATTGAGTTAGTCTTCAAAATAAGCCAATGAAGTAGGTTCCATATATTGTAGAAACCTATGTAGAAATGTATAAATAAATATGAGAATATGGGAAGTCATGTAAATTCTCTGAGCTTCTGTTTTCTCATCTATAAAGTGAGGTGATTATGCCATTGGACTACTGAAGTTTGTTTTATCTTTATATTTTCATAGTTCCATGAACAGCTAATGTTCTTTTTTGCTCTGACAGAGAAACAGATACAACTATTTTGGAAAAAAAAATGAGTGAATGAATAATTGAATGAAAGCTGATGAATGAAGCAAGAATAGACTACAAAACATTAAAATCAAAGTAGTGTTTGGATGCCTTCTGTGATTTTACAATTGCTGGTCAGCTATTTTAAGAAACTGGGTGCTTTCAATTTGTCATCAATTTAGAAGGCAATTTTCAAGGCAATGAATTTATTCTCTAGAGACAACTGCTGCAATATGTTTAGCAATTAAAAGGCCCATAATCTATGTTAAGCTAAAATAAATTTATCAAAAGCCAAATTGAGAAATAGTGCTATTCCTAGAATTGTGCAATTGCCCTTTTTTCTTCCTCAATGGAAAAAAATAGGGAGATGCTTACTATACTGTTTAGTTGATTGCAAATACAGTAAATTCTCAGTTATCCGTATGAATAATCTATGTTGAGGACTATTGAAGAAAAATATTTCATATAAAGCTTGTTTCTTCATGCCAGTTGACATGTTCCTAATTTTTGTTTTTTGTGTGTGTGTAGATACATATATTAATGTCTATACATTTGAACAAACATATATGAAGGTATATATGTGTATATGTGTGTTTGTGTGTGTGTGCATATGTATGTTTGAAGATATATATATTTGAATACATACATTTTGGTACATGTAGAACCCATATATATATATATATATGTATATATATATATATATATTTTTTTTTTTTTAATGCACTGTGAAGTCAAATGGAAACACTTTTTGGATCATTT